GTGGTTGGCCTCCATTTTGTGATTATAATTTTATGTTAAAGAGGATTAGGGTGGGATTGTAACACCACCTTTACCTAGGTCACATCCCTGATCCAATGTAAAGGGAGTTTCCCTGGGGTGTGGCCTGCACCACCTTTTATCTCTCAAGAGGGAAGCAAGCAGAGAATTGGGGACCTCATACCATCAAGAAAGCAGTGCCAGGAGCAGAGCGCATCCTTTGGACCCGGGTCCCTGTGCTGAGAAGCTCCTAGTCTGGGGGAACGCTGATGAGAAGGCCGAGAGAAAGACTTCCCCTGGAGCTGACACCCGGAATTTGGATTTTTAGCCTACTTTACTGTAAGGAAATAAATTTCTCTTTGTTAAAACCATCCACTTGTGGTATTTCTGTTATAGCAGCACTAGATGACTAAGACACTCTTTCACACGCTTTCAGCGTGCCTGTGGCTCAGGGTCTCTCACAAGGCTGCAATCAAGGTGGCAGCTGGGACTGCAGTCATCTGAGAGCTTGACCGGGGAGTGGGGCGGAGTAGGGGAGGCTGCTTCTAAGTTCACACACATGATTGCTGGCAGGACTTGGTGCTTTCTAGAATTTTTTACTGATCTTTTCAAAGAATCAGCTTTTGGTTTCATGCATTCTCTCTATTGTGTTCTTCATTTTCTATTTCATTGATTCCTACCTTTCTCTCTGCTTGTTTTTGGTTTAATTTGTTCTTCTTCTATTTTCTTCAGGTAGAAGTTTAGATCATTGATTTGAGGCTTTTTATCTAATGCAAGCATTTAATCATATAAATTTCCTTGTAAGCACAGAGAATCCCACACATCTTGATATGCTGGTTTTAATCTTCATCAAAATAAAGATGTTTCCTAATTTCTCCTTTTATCCAAATATTTGGGGATTTGCCTGATATCTGTGATTGATTTCTAGTTTTATTATATTGTCGTTAGAAAACATACTTTGTATAATTTCAGTTTCTTTAAATTTGTTGACTTTTGTTTTACGGCCCAGAATAGTTTTTATCTTGGTGAATATTATTTTAAGCACCTGTTAAAAACAAATATATGTGCTACTCTGATTGGAGAAGTGTTCAGTAAATATAAATGTGGTTAAGTTGGTTGATAGTGTTGTTCAAGTCTTCTAGATACATACTGATTTTCTTGTTATTCTATCAATGATTGAGAGATAATACTCTTGTTTCAATGTAATAAAGGAATTTATCATGTTTTCTTCTATTTTCATAGTTTCATTTTCGTATCTAAATTTGTGAATCAAATGGAATTTATCCTGGCATACACAGTGAGATGTGGATCCAATCTTTTTTCTTCTCCTTCTTCTTCTTTCAGCACTATTTCGTCATTAATATTTTAGGTAGCACAACCAGAATGCTATTTAAGAAAAACTATTTTACCGAATATGAAAAATACATATTTTTAAAATACCTAACAGATACTTAAAACTAAAAAGGGGAAAAATAATAATGGAAAGAATATAAGCTAGAGCAAGAAAAAAGTTTTGAAAATTCATTTTTTTAATGACATTTTATACATATATGTAGTTACTATTAATATTCTTTTATTTTGATTAGAATGTTGTCCCTCTGAATAATCTGTATACTCTAGAAGTTATTTTGAAGCCAATTCTCTAACGATCTTGTAAAAGCAAACAAACAACAACTAAGACCATTAAAAAAGTGGTTCACTTTACACAGGTTCCTTGTTCCCTGATATTTTCCTCAAAGTTAATGACATCAAGTATGGCTCCTTACGTGAAATTCCTGAGATGTGCTACATCTTACTAGAATGTTTATTTATGATTAGCAATATCTGTCCCCTTGCACTGGGTTTTCTTAGATTTACTAAAATATTGTTTTGCTTATTAGTCACAAATTTCACACAAAAATGAGTGTTCTAGCTTATTGGGATGAGGAAAGGTCCGTAAAACACTAATAGCTCAGGATTAAATATATGTGTTTTGGTTTTCTATCCCAAAAATCTATGAGGAAAATTAGAGAAGAAATCTAATGTTCCATGTGAAAAATTAATAAGCATTATCTCTACCAACAAAAGAAAAAATATAAAATTTTATATTAATTAGGCTGTATGAAACTGCATTTCAAATATAAACGATTAATTTCTATGAGTGATTACATACAATTTGAGTTTTTAGGATTACACAGTATCATAAAAAAATGCACCTTCATTAATACCCCAAATGTTCACCTTTTTAGAAGTAGAAGTAGATTCTCCCCCTCCCCACCCCCTGTACTGGTTTTATCTGTGTTGCAGATGTTTCTTTAAGCCATATCAGCTTTAGGTATGAAATTAAAACAGCAACTCCCTAGGTTACCCTCTCTGAGTAAGTTCTTCAAATCCTATTTAGCCCTCTTCCCACCAGCTGCCCTGTTGTTGTTATTAGTTGCCTTTGAGTCAATTCTGACTCATGGTGCCCTATGTCTGCAGAGTAGCACTGCTCCACAGGATTTTCAAGGCTGTGACTGTTTGGAAGCAGATCACCAGGCCAGTCTTCCAAGGTGCCTCTCGGTGAGTTCGAATCACCAACCATTCGGCTAGTAGTTGAGCACTTAACCATTTGAGTCACCCGGGGATTCCTACAACTTACTAAACGTAGACTTCTTGATGTAACAGTTGCTAGTAATTTCTGTCATCACTTCCGCTGCTTAGGCTGGACAGTGTTGCTCAATAGATACTTCCTCCCTGTATTGCTTGTGCTGCTGATGCTGTTCTCTTTTCTGATATTACCAATACTTTATCTGAGTACTTGGGTTTGGAGTTTGGGAAAGCAGTCTTTCACAGCTCAGGCTTAAAATGGCAGTCCTGTTCAAGATGAATTTTTTCCAATCTAGTGGTAATGGTGGGAGAGAGCCCTAAGGAATCTCCCTGCTTTTTCAGATGTCACCCCATAATATCAGGCATGCTTCCACTTCAAGGCCTTTACAACTTGCTATTCCTTCTGCCTAGGTGTATCACAAGGCCCACTCTCTCACTGCTGTCTATTCTCTGTTTAATATCACCTACTGAACAAAGACTTCACTGACCACCTACCAAAACAGGACATCGCCTCACTCTTCACCCGGTATTCCCTATCCTCCTTCCCTCCATATTTTCCTCCACAGAACTTATTTTCTAATATATCTACTCATTGATTTTGTTTTTGTTGGCTGCCCCCCTGGAATGTAAACTCAGTGATGGTTGGGATTTCATCTATTTCATCCACGTTGGATTCACAGTGCCTAGAACTCTGCCTGACACTGAGTAGATACCAAATAAGTACTCAACGAATGAACAGTCCCTTGGAGTGCAGCTTCTCACTGGTTTCTTACCATGTGCACAAGCCCTAGAACCTACACAAGACAATTCACCTTTAGCTCATAATGAAACTGGGACCACTTTCCTGTACCAGGACTTAACTTGAAACACATATGCCCATCATTTCTTCAGAGAAAGGTGAGGAGAATTCCTCCAAAATTTCCCCATTCTGCTTACTCTTTCCAAGAAAGTGTAGCTTTTCCTCCTTAACCAGTTACCCCAAGGAACCCATCACCGAAGTTGGTTTCTACTTTACTGGAGCTCCAATCACTGTCCCAATCCCTGTGTTGTGGGGTCCTTGTTTCATAGGTACTACAAAATATTTAAAATCTTTCATAATTGTCTAACCATGGAAAAGTTGTTATAATTTTGACTCTTTAATGAGGATGAATTAAGGAATATTGGATTTGTATTTATTTATGCATAAAAGTATCTAACCTTAAAATTAATAGTGTAATTAACTCACATATCAAATTTGAATATATGTCACAACACAAAGCCTTTCAAAGAGAAATATATTTTAATGATAAAAGACAGCATTAGCAAAGAAGTTTTCCTATACATATATTTTGTGATATTAAACATATATAGTATCAAATATATATATACCTAAGTGAATAAGAATACAAATTAATGTTTCATGAAAGAGCTGTGCTTTCAAAGGCTTTTAAAAAGGCAAAAAAAGTAAAGTTTATCTTAGAAAATGACACTGAAGAGTTAATGACATCAAAGATCATATTGACTAAAGAAGGAAAACAACAAACTTTTAAAGCTACCTTAACATAAATCTTACTGTGAATATAGAATGCTTTTGAACACAATACATAGAAAAGAGAATAATCTCTAAGACATTATGGCTTTCTTCTCTGACACTTTAAAGAACAAGTTTGTCTAATGGCTGCTGAATTGTAAAAATTTCTACTTGATGAGTCCTGCTAAACTGCACAAAGCTTTTCACTTTTAAAAGGCCATATAAAAAGATATAAATCAGTTTCCAGAAGAGCTAATATTGGTCCATAACAAAAGTTTACTTCAGGTCATTCTAATACATTGACATTAGAAAACCCCAGTTTAAACAGATTTTTAAACCAATACTAGGCAATAAAAAAATAACCACATGGTTGAGGTTAATTTCCAAAAGCAAACAAAAAAACTTTTTTTTTTCTCCAGAACAGCAGTGGGACAGCTACCCCATATTTATGTTTTTACGTAAAAATCTGTTTTATCAGTTGCTGGAATCCCAGCCCAGGAACCAGCCTGTGAATGTAGGTGGCTCATGGCCCTGTTTTATGATGACAATTGGTGTCCTCTTGTCTCTTCCGGAAGGGTCTGTTTCAAGGTACATTTTGGCTAAAAAGAGTTGCAAAGACATATAAATTCAGTTGGTTTTGATTAAACTAAAATATTGGGAGAATTCTCATTGTATCATTAAGTGTAATAAATCAAATTTTCACTGCCCCCAAGTAACCAGATGCTATTCCACATGAACAATTTCTTATTGATTTCTTTCAGCTGCTATGCAAAGTATCATGGGAGCCTTTCACTATTACTTGAAAGAATTCCAAGCTTTATGGAATTATCTTTATGACATAATTATCCTTATCCTTCTTAATGCAAGAAAATTTGCTAGAAAGATCAGCACTTCTCAAAAGGAAATGGAAAAATCTAGGTTATCACAGTTATGGAGGTTTTACTATTCCCATAATAAAGTAAGGTTTAAGTAGATTTAAATTTTTCAGAGTAAATTGATATGATTATATTCTAAATTAAGAAGCAATTTTTCTTTTTTTTTTTTGCCTTCTATTGTTACTGAAGTTTATTTTTCTTGTTCTCATTTTGAAATCCTTCAGTTTGGAAAAAAAATTCTTTAGTTCTGAGGATAAAAGACAGACATTTCTTGTTTTTGATACGTATTTTTGGAGGATCTGGTTAAAAAAGCAATCAGGCACTCAGTAATAATCACTCTACGGTTACTGGGTGGTTTGGGGGATATAGCTTACCAGACTTCAGAGATTCTGTTCGCTCAGCTTCATTAGCATCTTTGCCAATCCAAATAAATATCTGAAAAACAAACAATAATAATAACAACATGTACTGTTTTGGGAATGTTACTCAGTGCTAAAATATTTTATTGAAAATTGAATAATAATTGTATTAACTGGTGTTCCTTGTAGGCGTATGGATATTATCCTAGACCCAGAGCTTGTCTGTGGGTGACCCCAGGCCCTCTAGGATCCTCTGACTTAAGCTGTTATTTTACCTCCTACAGTATTGTGCTCCTGTCACACTTTGGGAAAAATGCCCTAATGTCTAGTATTTAAATAATTGAAATAGTTAATTAAAAAAAAAATTAATATATCTTCTATTTGCATTCTTCACCTTGTCAAATGTGTTAGGCTGAGTACTTCAATGCTGAAAAATTCTCCTAAATTACCTCATGTCTAAAACACTTTAAATTCACTTGTTCAAGTAATTTTGGTCAAATTAAGTTCTGATTGTATTAAATTCAGACTGAAAGTGCTGGAATATTTGCTTGCAGGGCAGAGAACAAACTAGGACAGCATGGTAATATAAATGAAAAGTATCATTTCAAAAATGAAATGCAAAATGGGAAATATTCTAAAGAATCTGCAACTACAGAAATAACACAACTGACTATAAATGGAAATAAATACTTCTAAATATGGAAACATTATAGTTCTTGTATTATAATTCTTAAATAAACAAAGGGGTCTTATTGACATGGGCTTTAAACCTCACATCTAGAAATGAATAATCTTGGAAAGGACCTGTGATTGGATCCCCGATTTAAATGTAATTTTTAGACTGAAAGTTAAGGCATAGTATAATGGAATGACTTAGCCATTAGAAACAGACTTAAATGTAACAATCTCTGTGGTTAACTCTAAGACTAGGCCTCATTGAAATAAGAGTGTCATCATTGTTCTATACAACTTAGTTCCTAAAATATTTATTTTTTCCTTTCACAATTGTTAGTTCATATAGATAAGAAAAAAAAAAAAAAGGATTGTCAGATACAGCCTGTCAAATCACTATTAATTTTCTGAAAAATAAAGATAGATAGACACAAATAGAAAGATAGATAGAGATATAAACAATAACATATCTTATTGTATAGATTCAAAACTGTTCTGTGTCTGCTCCCATTTATTTCTTCCCTAGGGGAGAGGTTCCCTCTATGACCTCTTGTCAAATCTCAAGATTTCTAAATATTTTTGCCTTCCCAATGGCATTATACCCAGAAATCATCTGATGCATTTATTAGTTAAATAAATGTATTAATATATGAATAAATGGGTGAATGAAGTTAACAAATGAAGGAAAAATAGGCAGGTACAAGCTTTTCGTCTAAAACTATAGAGTCAAAGATAGTATCCAAGAATTATTTACTTGTCAAGAAATTGACTTGCCACATGTATTCATTTTATTTTCTGCCAAACTGTGCCGACTCTCTTTTAAATACAATCTAAATCCCCAGGCCCATTTATTATTAGACTTGCCATTTTCTCAAAGCAGGTTCTTGCCAGCTCCTGACCATAAGTACACCTTCTTGTTATGAGCAAAATACAGTTTTACCTGTTCCCAAGCATCTAGTAACATGACATCATCTTCTGCTAGATCATCCTGGGTGAATTCTCCTGGAACCTCTTCAATCTGAAATGTAGTAAGAAGCTTTATGATAAAACATGTATTATTTTCGAGCTTAGCTAAAATTTGGTAGTCTTTTTTTTCCTTTTCTTTGAAGTAATAAAGATTTAAATCATTGTTCACCTGTTTAAACAGGTATCACAAACTGATGGACTGAAGGGTGTCTTATTTTGGCCAGCACTGTGCATAATATAAGGTGGAGGTCTGGTGATGCAGTGGTTAAGAGCTCAGCTGCTATCCAAGAGGATAGCAGTTCAAATCCACCAGCTGCTCCTTGGAAACCCTATGGGGCAGTTCTACTCTGTCCTATAGGGTCGCTATGAGTCAGAATCGACTCAACAGCAATGGGTTTGGTTTTGGTTTGGTGCTTAATATAAACATTGAGTTTGAAGGCCTTTCGGTAGGGCATACACTGTCAATTTGTCCACTGTTCTCTCAACTTCCAGATCTACATGACAAGTTGTTCCATACATTATGTTGCCTGCCTAGTAGCTAAAAACATTTGAGTTTACAGCTTGGGTACTGAATTCTCTTTCATTTCATAGGTCAAGATTATTTTAATGGAATCAGAAGTCAAAGACATTTCATGAAATCAATATTGTTACACTATCTTTGTCAATAAAATGACCTAACATAACAGCCCATACACAAAAATTCACTGTTTTTATTTTTAATAGGTTAAATTATGTTCTCTACAGTTAACTTTAAATGGTAATGGGTGGGTTAGTTTAATCCACCCAATACCAGTGGGCATTTATTAACCTGAGTTCAATATTTGTGATGACAGGTGTCATCAGCTAGACTATGATTCCCAATTCTTCACTCCCTTCCTCAGCCACATGACCTTGCAGGGCAGTCAAGTGGGTGGAGTAGACTGTGGCCTTGGCTGTGTGACACGCTACGGCCATGTCAGAGAGCAAATGTGACTTACAGGGGCCCCCTTGTGCTCCTGAGCTCTGCCATAGGGTGAAAAAGAACCATTGCCATCAAGTCGATTCCAATTCATAGCGACCCTATAAGACAGAGTAGAACTGCCCCACAGGGTTTCCAAGGAGCGGCTGGTGGATTCAAACTGCTATTCTTTTGTTTAGCAGCTGGGCTCTTAACCACTCTGCCACCAGTGCTCGGCCATAGGAAAAGCAGGCATGAAACCAACCTGCAGCCTGAAGCAGAACCTCTCAGCAGAGACCAGCTCAAGGAGCCTGCAAACCTGAGCGTGACAATACATGTTTGTTGTTACAGTTTAATGAGCTTTTGAGACTGTTACACAGAAAAGAAAAAAGAAAAAGATCTGGCCATTTACAGATGGCAAGAAATCTGGTTATATTATCTTTATACTATACAGAACATTTACCAATCACATAATGATTTTTAAAAAATCATAAATATCACTTACTCTGTGCCAGGCACTATTCTAATGTTTTGTATCTAATAGCTAATTTAATATTCATAACAACTCTGAAGTAGGTACTATGATTGTGCCCATTTTACAGAGGAAACTATGAAACAGAGAGGGCAAGGTAATCAGCCTAAGATCACACAGCTAGTAAGCAATATCACCAGGATTAGAACACAGGAAAACTGGTTCTAAAAACTGTGCTTTTAACCAATAGACTCTGCTACCTCACCTGCATCTACATGTTAAAAGCCTGCTTTCTGATGGTGATGCTGTCTTGCCTGTTATTATCAATCTCTTTTCTTAAAGGGATTCCAATCCCAGAAGGAGTTCCAAATATCAAAACAAGAAAATGAGTAGATGCAGAGGAGACATACATGTCTCTTAAAGCCTAATATACGCACAGGACACAAAAACAAAGACCAACAGACTTGTTTTTGAAACCTGAGAACAAAGCCTAGGTACTTAATTTTAAAAATACATCTTCAGTGTAAGCAACATTTAATTTATAGCAACATTAGCTATACATTAAATTAATATAATAATATTAATAAAAAATTATAGAAGCATATGCTGAAAAAGAAGTTGTTTGGATGCAATATCAAATTAACAGTCAAAACATTAGCAGATTTTTCTCTGACACGTTTATAACATACAGCAGTGCTAAGATTTCCTGCAAAGTAGGTGAACAAATTAATCAGGGTGGTGCCCAATGACCAACTATTTCTCACAATCTATTATTAAATCTTATTTTTTGTCAAATCCCTTTTAAGTTTCAACTATGGTTTGTACACTAACAGTTTCTTCTTCAAAGTATTTTATTTCTAATAATCAATGTGCCTGTGAAAGTACTTAGGAAATTTTCTCGTGTGTGTGTTGAAAAAGAGAGCTTGTATTCACCAGGACGTGTTGACCAAACCTGCAGATCAGTTTGTACATACCAAAAAACCAATAGCAAACCCATTGCTGTCAGTCAATTCCTACTCATAGCAACCCTATAGGACAGAGTAGAACAGTCCCATAAGATTTCCAACAAGCTCCTGGTGCATTTGAACTGCCGACCTTTTGGTTAGCAGCCGAACTCTTAACCACTGCTCCACCAGGGTTTCCTAGAAAAGGAATTAATTCTTCAAATGAAAAAATTTACACAAAGGCCATGCATATCCAACAGAGAAGGCAGAATTTTTCTGGTTAAATTGGAGAGAGAAGCTGTAGCCCAGGATGACATTCAGAGCCCAGTATAAAATGACTCTTGTACACAGATACTATGACCTCCAACTGCCCAGAATCCAAAGCCTGTGAAGGATTATAAGATAAAAACACTCCTGTTGGTTTCAGTTAATTTGCAGGTGCATCTACAGCTTTCTGCGATTTTGCCCAGTGGTCATAATATTTCCATATTTTTTATTCAAACATAGTGAAATTTTTTATTCCTCTGGGACATTAAAGTGTAAAACTTGCCTCATAGTAACAAGCAAGACAGGGACACCATCAGACTCTACTCTTGCTGCCCATAGAAACTGTCAAATCATTAAATTAGCAACCACATATGTATTCATACAGCACCTACCCCAAGGTGGCACAGGTGCAAAGTAGATCATGATTAGTAGCTGATATTTTTAAGAGGAGCTTGATTTAGATAGTACATTACAGTACTCCTAATGCTCTCACGGGAGCACCTGGGTGGCGCAAACAGTTAAGTGCTCAGCTACTAGCTGAAAGGTTGGTGGTTCGAACCCACCCAGAGGCACCTCAGAAGACAGGCCTGGTGATCTGCTTCCAAAAGGTCACAGCCTTGAAAACTCTATGGATGGGTAGAGACTAAAGGAACCCCTGAGACTATTGCCCTGAAACACCCTTTAAACTGTACTGAAACCACTCCTGGAGGATACCCTTCAGCTAAATAACAGATTGGTTCGTAAAACAAACATCACCCATGAGTACTATGCTCCTTTAAAAAATCATCTATACAAGCCCAAACAGTCAACATTTACCCTAAAGCAAAGATAAGAAGGTAAAGGGGGCAGGGAAGCTAGATTAATGGAAATGGAGCAACCAGAATGGAAATAATAAGAATGTTGACACACTATGAAAATGTAACCAATGTCCATGGACAATAAGTATAGAAATTGTTAAATGGGAATCTAATCTGCTGGATAAACTTTCACCAATAATGCTAATAAAATACTATTTTAAAAAAACCCTATGGAGCAGTTCTATTCTGACACGCATGAGGTCATCATGAGTTGGAATCGACTTGATGGCAATTAACAACAAAGCCTTCACACCAGTGCTTTCACATTATGTTGTTGACCCTTCCAATAACCTTGTGTAGAGCAAAGATTGTCATCTCTGGTTTGCAGGTAAGCTAAATCTGACAATCAGAGAGGTAACATGGTTGGAACACCTCCCAATGCTGTTTACATCCTATCTCACTATTTTTTAAGACACTTACAATGAACCTTCCAGTTTTGTTAGAGCAGCCATAAAGCCGAGGGGGATGGTCTTCGGCTTGGGTTTCTAGCAGTGGAGAGGTCTGGTAGTCTTTTTTCCCTCCGAGGGAACTCCAGAATTCCTCTGCGGAAAACATGCTGAATTATCCAATGTATTTTCAGGAGCATATGATGGTATTGTTTTACTTCAACAAATAATATCATCTCACCTTGACTTAATGTGATTTAAGAAATTATTTACGTATTACCAGGTACTGTCCCCCACTTTGCAACCTATGGAGGGATTCTTAATACCCTATAATCATTAAAAAGTTACTATTTATGAAAAATATAAAGCACGCGATTAGCAATCACACAAAACATAAATTCTGGTTGGTTCCTTTGGCCCCATAGTACACACCTGGTTCCTCCCCTTCCTGAATCCTTGTGGGTTTGCACTTGAGGACACTTGCCAAATACTCTGCTCCTTTCTCCTCCTCCTGGCTAGCACCTCTTCCTATCCAGATGTAGCCATTCTTTTGTTGCAGTTTCAGGACAAAAACATCATTGGAATTCAATGAACTTCCATCAACATCAACCTAGAGTATAGAAAACAAAATAACATCACTGCTGACCCTGTTAAACATGTCCCAGAAGCTGTGACAGTGACAAACCATCGTAACTTCTGTCCTGATCCCAGGAAGTTAGTTTGGGCAGCACTGGGACACCACCACTATGGTGTCAGAAACATTAGAGTTAGAACACTTTGGTCTCTGTCACTTTAATACCCAACTGCACACAGATGGTGACACAAGGCTCTCAGAATAAAACTTAGGCAAAATTCAGTGACAATGAATTGAAGATTTAGAAAAGTTACAAAGATGATATTCAAAGATACCATAAGAACAAGGATGGATTATAATTATTTAGAGAAGAGGGTATAATATTCACAAATGACACAGATAAAACAAAGATAGTTTTTCTGGCCCACTAAAGACAAGATCTATCAAATAATCAAAGGGAAATCTAAAAAAGATAAAAAATTTTAAAAAAGAGACTAGAGTCCAAAGTAGGTATCATGGATTGAATTACATCCCCCCAAAAACGTGTGTATCAATTTGGCTGGACTGTGATTCCTGGTACTATGTGATTTTCCTATATGTTGTAAATCCTGCCTCTATGATGTTAATGAGGGAGGATGGGTGGCAGTTGTGTTAGTAAGGCAGGACTCAGTCTACAAGATTGGATTGTATCCTGAGGCAATGTCTTGAGATATAAAAGACAGAAGTGAGCAGTGAGACAGGGGGACCTCATACCATCAAGAAAGCAGTGCCAGAAGCAGAGCGCGTCCTTTGGACCGGGGTCCCTGCGCCGAGAAGCTACTAGTCTGGGGGAACACTGATGAGAAGGCTGAGAGAGAGAAAGCCCTCCCCTGGAGCTGACACCCTGAATTTGGACTTTTAGCCTACTTTACTGTAAGGAAATAAACTTCTCTTTGTTAAAGCCATCCATTCGTGGCGTTTCTGTTGTAGCAGCACTAGATGACTAAGACAGTACGTAAAGAGATAATATTACGGATTCACTAAATAAGGCTCCCCAGGCTTGGGTAAATTATAGCTCAAAATATAAAAGACTATTCACAAGGAAATAAAAACACAGCACTGATATACTCTTTGGCTTTAACCCAGAAGCTGTGAACCCTGTCCAGGGGGTATCTGGGATCATCCAGGTGAGCACAGTTCTGGTCCATGTGGCCATAGGGGAGTAAGAGGGGCCTGGCTGTGTCCGGGGTGCAGGCTGAGGATGAGTTCGAAAGTGGAACTTCTGGGCAGGGGAAAAGGAGGTGCAGAGCCTCAGGTTTGGTGATGAGTGTGAGGATCCTAGAATGGGCTTTTGTGACTCTGTGAGAACTCTAGCTGACCTGATGATTGTGTGACTGTACGATTATGTGTACATGACTCTCTGTGTCACTGTGGGCTTGAGTATGAATCTATGAAAACTAGGGAGATGAAGAAGAACCTGTAAGCAAAACGGAGAAAGAGAAGCTGAGAGGGAGGAGGAAATCAAGAGTGTGAGGTATTCCTGAGACCGAGTGAAGAAAAATATTTCAAGAAGGAAAGAGTGATTAGCTGTACCAAATGATGCTGTTTGGTTAACGACACTGAGCTGCCAGAATGAAGGTATAACTGCAGGGAGAGCTGGATTTAACCAGGGTTGGAGTTTTGTCAGAACCCTGCCCCAAAGAGAACACCAAAGGAGGAAGGACTGGCTGGCGGAAGTTTTAAAGACATGTCCCAGGGATTGGCAACTCTCAGGCAAGTGGCTATAGTCCTCTTTCAGGAGGAATGAGGTCTAATGGACCAATATTAAAGGAATTTATTCAGATGTGATGATGGAGAATTACAGAAACCAAGTCTGGTTTTCAGGACATCTGAGATTTCTAAACCAAATGTCGCCATATGTATACAGAGGAAAGAACCTGGGTGATAAAGAGATAGGTGACAAGAGGTGTGAGATCAGGCAGGTTCTTCTAAAACACAACACTTACAACGTTTTAGCCTCCCAGGAGATGAAAACAAAAAGACTTACACACAGCGATTTTGAACTTTCAGAGAGGCTGGGAGTGAGAAACCTGGCTTGAGAGGCTACAAGGAAATAAGGAGATGCATTGCAAGCAGATGGACAATAAACTTATTTCATTAAAATATGAGAGAAGGCAAAATTTATATGTATAAGAGGCAGACAAGTTGATGGAATTAGAGGGGATGAGGTAATTCTTGTCTATTGTATTTATGTTTCTGTGATCTCTGAATCAAAGTTATTAGTAGAGAGCAGGGGGTGTTGGAGATTTTGGAGAGAGCAGGACAGGAGGATTGTGATGGATGAGGAGGATTCATGGATTGAGGTATCAGACTTAAGAACTGCTGGCAAGTGCATACTGGAGGAAAGGAACCAGAAAATAGGAGGTGGTTGTCAGAGATTAGACATTTGAAATAGAAATTTCTGAGGTGCTACAGTTAACAGGACCATATGAATGTGAGTTGAAGTGGGTCAATGAAAGATCGTTCTATGAGAGCAAGTCAAGAAATGGAGACGTCAGAGTGATGGAGACAGTGAGATAATTGCTGTAGCCAACAAAGAACGAGAAGAGAAGGACTGGCAGCGCAGTAGATGACAGAATGGGAGGGTTGAGGAGGGAGAAGAGAGCCTGATAAAGAGGAAACAGGTCAGAGACAAGGGAGAGTAAAAGGGATCCCCCACACTCCAACCCTGAAGCACTAAGGTAAGGTGGCACTGGGGAGAAACACAGCCTTTTCTTGAGAAGATTGTATGGGAACATGTGTCCTCAGAGGACAACCACAGCAAAAGAAGGGAAGGAGAAAGGAGTCTTAGAGAAGAGATTAAGGATGGAGGGATGCAATGACCCATCCAGTTTTAAGGACTCAGCTGACCAGCTTGTGCAAATGGAACGGGTTAGAAAATGCTTCCAGGCTCAGGGATAAGCAGAGTAAGCATGACAGTTTAGGGGTGAATTAGGAGTTTTGATGGCTACTGAGGTGACTGAGATATGAGGGATCAAAGAACTGTCCTGGAGGCCAAGACGCTCAGCTACTTAGAACCCTGGAGGTCTTCTAGTCTTATGGCACCACGATACGGGGTTTGATTTCTTTCACAGCTGCTATCAGAGACAGCTTGTTTGGCCAGTTGAGTTATGGTTCTGGTCCAGTGTGGCAAAGCCTGCTTCCCACATTTGTTACACTTGTGCAAACAAGGGCCTTCCCTCTCAGATTTCCCCAGTGCAGTCACCTGACCATCACCCACCATCCATCTTGCCCTAGGCCTTTCAAGATAAAGCATAAGCTGTCTCATGCCTTTGACAGCTTGATTTGTTGTATTTTTCTTAAAATTCATTTGTTTAGGTACAATGTAGTTGAAAAATGTGAGAGACCTGGTGTCTGGAGTTTAACTTTTCACTCAACTCTCTTGATTTTAGTATTTTTTATTGTGGACAGTGGATTAATTATAGAAATAAAGGGAATTCGCTTGCCAGTTTTTTAAAGACTAATATTTGCTGACAGCCCAGGTCTACTGGGAAGTCCATAACCAGGGCATGTTTTATTGAATGCATGACATCACCTCCATAATTCTGGTGATAGATGCCAGGTTTCTCCGGACTTGAAAGAGGCGGATAGGGGGAGCAGGTGCCTGACCGCCTTCCTTTGATGTTCCATCCTTGTAAATAATGAGTGGTTTGTCTTTGAACAAACTCAGCAGGTGAGTAGGCTCCTTGCCTTGGGAGACCCGGATCTAGGGGTAGGGGGAGGAAAATAAAAGAAATATAACAAAGGGTGCAATGAAGGTTGTATTTCCAAATGTGTTTTTATTTTTCTTTTTGAAAACAAAACAAAAAACTAATAAGTCAAGAGCAGGGGGAATGATGATTAATAGAAAATAAAGGTTAATGTTGATCACGCAGTTTCCTAGCTGACTTAAGGATTGTGGGTTTGTTGCTCAGGCACAGCATCCCTACACAGTTTCTTGTCAGCGGAAACATCAACCTACTGTCAAGCTTTCTGCTTCCAGAAAGCATTAAAACGGAAGTTTGTTCATCTACTTCGAAAGAGAAAACAACAAAGTACTGATGTATGCCATTTAATAGGAAAATTACTCTTTTTTTTTTTTTTAAGTGTACCAACATTTTACAATGTTTACAGATGGGCTTGGTTCTTTTGTGAGATCTCTTTGGGATCTGGTTCGGAAGGTTGAGAGATATTCATTCAAATGCTTCAAAAAATAAGACAACCCAAAAATCATATTAAATTATTTCTGCATTCATATCTGTGGAATGAAAAAAATTAATCATAAATCCTTATGGGGAAGGATAAAAGATTTCTACCTAAACGTAAAAAGAACTGGCAAAAATTCAACTGAATACATTTTCTATTTTTTAACTTTCTTATAGAATTGCTATTAATAGATATGCTTATTATATCTAATACAACATACAGTACAACATAAGAACTTTTTAGGTGGAGAAAATTGAAGAAAATAAATGGTCAATTATTTGCTTAGTTTCACTTATTAGCTTACTGTCAGATACTGAACTAGAAATGAATTCCCAATTTCTTACATAACTTATTGATGCATTTTTTTTTTTTTTTGACATAAAGAATTCAAATTCTGTGTCAGTCCTCTTTTTTTTTTTCATTTGTTCTGCCCTATGCTATATTGCTACTGCACTGTCTTACCTGCCCTGGTCTGTCTTCTTACAGAAGCCAGGTGGATGAGAATGCTGACGCTTATAACATTGAAGGGAGGAGGCCTAAGGAGTGTTGAAAATAATCAACTTCACAGATACTATTCAGTTAGTATCCATTCAAATAAGTGAGCTTCAAATTATGAAAATCTCTGTTGAGTCACAGCCCTAGGGCTTGGGGTCAGGGAGCAAGGGGTACCAAAAACTGTTGGTTGGCCTAGCATTTTATGTCATGTTAAGAGAATTGCCAATATGAGAAAAAGGAGGTCACTGATTAAGACACATCCCCTTCTGTTAAAGGCGGGTGAGAGATGAAACAGGCAAATTGAAAATTTTTAGTACTGCTAATATACTCTACAAAGGAATTTTTAAAATAGCAATACTTTAGTTGTTTATGCGTTATTGTAAACTACTGCCATCTAGTGATTAAAGTAAAAATTACCATTTCATTGTAAATTTAGGAGTCGACTGTCTATAACAATGAAAATTCATTAAATGGACACATCAAATGTTCTACTATGAACTATAGAGTTTATAAGGCACAATGCATGTATTAGAAGTTTTTACATAATTTGATAAGGAATAATTTAAAAATTAATTAGATGACATCAGTTCTTAGCTAGAAATATTTCATCCCAGAAATGAATATTTCATGGAGAAATAGTCTAGTGCATTTAAACAACTTAATCATGTTTTTAAAAGTTAATTCGTAAAACAAATACTTAATACATAGTTATAAATGTAGATCTGACTTGCTTTATATGTCTATTAACAAATGCCTTAGGGAAACTAGCAGGAAGACCAAATTCAACTGCCGCCACATCTTAGATTTAATGTTTTAAACTATCTGACTTGCCTCTATATTTAATTATTACATTTGAAGAAGCAAATGACACATTTATAAAGATGTGAAAAGAAAACAAAAGAGCTTGCATATCACATAGAATCTCAGCTCGTTTGACATCAGGCATGAGGAAGTTAAACAGGCACCTCCCTGCAAAGGGAATGTTTAATGAAGCTCTATCAGAAATGTCCCCGTGCTGGACAAAGGAGCACCTGCTTTCAGGTTAAACCTCAATCTGGAAGATGCTTTTTCCAGGAGACGCAGCAGATTCCTTCACTGAAACCAGCCAGAAGGAGAACACCCAGACAGAGTGAGCTAGGAGAACGGGAGGTAAGAGAATCAGAGAGAGAAGGAGAAATGGAAGGAGGGAAGGAGAGAAGAAAGAAAGAGAAGGAGGGAGGGAAGAAAGAAAAGGAGAGAACACTAGGGAGGAGTAGGTAGCTACACTCGAGCAGCACACTGGAGAAAAACAAAGCTTCCTTTAGTCTGCAGTTAGGTTGTACAGTAAGGAATTAAATAAGCAAAGACCAAGAATTTCCTGAGATTATTAATAAGGCTCCTGAAACAAGGAGCAGATACTCCACCATAAACATACGAGCTGCAGCTGAGAAAATAGAAGTGAGTGTGGAATCAGGTTAGAAATGGTCCCTTAGATCCAGTGAGGAGAGCTAGACATTGATATTGGAATCCCATGGTATAACATTCAAAGTTATAATGAATATGTCAATATATTAACACACTGTCTCTACTCTGTGTGTGCGTGTGCGTGTGTGTATAAAACAAAGCTGGCTCATGTATATTTATATGGAGTTGCCATTTTGAATTTGGGTCCAGTCAACTCAACAAATTATTTTGTTATTTTCATAAATTCCCAAAGAGCTCATCTCTCGCCTCCCTCTCACTATCTTATCCCTTTCCTTTTCCTCCCCCTTCCTTCTCTTCCCTTTCCTTCCTCCTCCAAGATTTTCCTTCTCTTCCTTCTTTCCTTCCTATCTTTTTTCTTCCTCTTATCTCTTTCTATTTCTACTCCCTCTCTTTCCTCTCTTCTCCTCCCCTCTTATTTTCTCTCCCTCCCCACCTCTAAATATTTTTCTCTTCCTCCCTCTTCCCCTACTCTTCCTCTTCCCTTTTCTTCCTCACCGCCCCCCCCCCCCATTTTTGGGGATGTCAAACTTTGCTTCAGTCAAGATTCTGGTGCCTAAAAGAAAAAAATAAAGATCCATGCTCTCCTATCAAGATTTACTTCAGTATGGCTGTGCAGAAGATAACATATGCCCTTTCATAATAAGAAAATATTTTTCTAAACTTTTAACCTATTAATTAGAATTATAAATCTGTGCTTGTTCTACAGTGTTGTATTAGTTTCCTACTGCTGATATAACAAATTAACTGCAAATTTAGTGGCTTAAAACAACACCGATTTATTATCTTACAGTTCTGCAAGTCAGAAGTCTAAATGGGTCTCAGCTAAAATCAAGGTGTTAGCAGGGCTGCATTCCTTTTGGAGGTTCTAAGACTCTGTTTCTTGCCTTCTCCTGCTTCTAGAGGCCTTCTGCATTTCTTGGCTTGTGGTTCTATCCCTCCAATTTCAAAGCAGCAATGGCCTGTCAAGTCTTTCTCACACAGAATTACTGTGAGTCTGATTTTTTTTATGCCTCTCGCTAGCACTTTTAAGGATCCTTGTGATTACATGTTCCCACCTGGAAAATGGAAGCTAATCTCCCTATCTTAAAGTCAGATGGCTAGCAACCATCAATCTATCTGCAACCTCAATTTCCCTTTGCCCTGTAAGGTAACAGGTTCACAGGTTCTAGGGATTAAGTAATGCACATTTTTTGGGGGGAGGGGCCATCATTCTATCAACTATTTAACGATAGCTGGACATGACAGCGCAAGTCGAACAGTTTGAACGTTAAGTAACTGTCATGACTGACATATGATGTGATCCTAAAGATTCTTCGGGGCTCATAACTCTGTTAGTAGTTGATTTTTGGTTTTGTTTTTTATTTTACTTTTGTTTGCTTTCTCTTTTCCAGAAGCTCAGAGAACCAGTATGACATGAGTGTAGCAATATTTGAATTCCAAAATGAAAAAAAAAAAAAAAATTAGTATCAAGAAAGGTTAAATTCCCACTCCAAGTTGGGGAGAGGGCCTTTAACTAGAAACTAGATTAATGTGCTGGATTTAGTTCAGAAGTAGGTTAGCAGAACTTTAATTTGTATGAGTTTTTATGGATAAAAATATCCCAACCTGCACAGCCTGTCCTCCAAGGGACCGGTCCAACTGAACAGTCAGGAAGGCAGATGTTGTCAGCTCATCTCTCGTGGCATTTCTTCCTTGCCTAGGGGAACCATGATAAAATAAATCAGTCTATATTTAAGTTTTAAGACTTCCTAATATACACATTTCAAGCAGAGCCTTAAGAAATTATGAAAGATCAAGGAGAAAACAACTATTTTAACATAAGCCTTGAAAGCTATCGGTTTTTTTTTTTTTTTTTGGAAGTACTAACTTTGATGGGACGAATGAGGCACAGCAGTGCAGGGACAAGGACTAGAACGCAGGAGGGGACAGGAAAGCTTGTGATAGGGCACCCAAGGTTGAGTACAGACAGTGTTGCCATGTCATGGGGTTGTTACCATTGTTATAGGGCAATATGTGTACTAACTGCTGAATGAGAAACTATTCTGTAAACCTTCATTTAAAGTAAAAAAAAAAAAAAAGAATTATCTATGTGAGATCAAATTGACAACAGCAATTCAAAAGGTTTGATGGGAAGTCTAGGGGGCAGTGAGTTGAAGATAATGGTGTTGGAATAATTTGGAAAAGGATAGTGAGAATAGCAATACAACAAGAATGTAATCGATGTCACTGAATTGTACATGTAGAAATTTTTGAAATGATGTATCCTTTGGCTATGTATATTTTCACTGAAAAAAACCAAAAAAAGGTCCTCCAAGGTCGAGAAGGGAGAGTGTTGACATGTCATGGGGTTGTTAACCAATGTCATAAAATAATATTTGTACTGTTAATGAGAAACTATTTGTTCTGTAAACCTTCATCTAAAGTACAATAAAAAAAATATTTAAAAAAAAGAAAGTACTAACTTTGAGCCATGAATTTTTCTGTGTATTGTTTAGAATTCTCTCCACTGTATAGGTGAAGAAATTGAGCTTAATTCCTTACATAATTGGCTAAGTAATCAGATCTGTCTGACTCTGAGTTGAAGCTGTCTATTTTGGGAATCCGTCTCCATAGAGAAGATAATCCATTTGGATAGCAGAATATGAGCCAAACCTGGTCAGACTGGATATTGGAGGAGTTTCATCTTTCTATGAATATTTGGTCAGCATAGAACCAAATATCTGGAACCCAGAAAATTCAAGAACATAATCACCAGAAGTAGGCAAAGGAGAAGCCTCATTTTTGTCTTTCTCACAATTCTTGAAAGGCATTACTGTACTAAGAAAGCTATACAAAAGTCTAAGCTGCCAGCAACCCAGATAAAGGTCAATAAATCAATGGGTCCAGTTGAGTTACAACTTCTCTTGCTAGGGTAGCTTGAGGTTTAATTCTGAATCACTAGCTTAACCTGTAAGGCAACTTTTGGGAGATTTTCCTGTTTTATGAGTTTATGGAGAGGAAAGAAAAAAACCATTGAACATTGTTTTCTTTAGCCAACTCTTCCATCTCTATATGATGACTGACTAGGAGTTAGCAACAAGAATACTAATCCTGGAATTGGATTTTGAACACATTCAACAGTAACCCCCCATCCTGGGCAACACACACCCTGGGAGGTGAGAGCATGTGTTATTTACCTCAGAATTTTTCAGTGCACCGGCATAGGCTAAATGGTTGATGTAATAATGTTCTACAGAAAGGAATGTAAAATAAAAAAGAGGGCCCTGCATAGGGCAGGCATATCTGTTTGTAAGAAAATGAAAAATGTTTTCCCTAATTAAAAAACCAAAACCAAACCCGTTGCCATCAAGTTGATTCCAACTCATAGCGACCCTATAGGACAGAGTAGAACTGCCCCATAGGGTTTCCAAGTAGCAGCTAATGGATTGGAACTGCCAACCTTTCAGCTAGCAGTCAAGCTTTTAACCTCTGTGCCACCAGGGCTCCTTCCCTAATAAAGGCACTCATAAAAACATGATTTTTAAAGTTGATAGTTTAAATTTTCTATGAGCCTATCATGCGAACAGACCCTCCCAGGAGCCACCCTGAGCACATGGCCATGGGGAGAAACACAGAGGTGCATGGTGTTCGTCCTCACCAGGGTCTGTTACCCCTCCTCACACATTAGCCACATCTGCAGTTTCCTAGCCCTTTCTATGTTTTGCTTATTTTCTGAAGGAAAAAAAAAATTCAACCAATTAATTTAAACAATATCACCAAGCCCTTGCTTCTATTTTGCATTCATTTTCCCCCCCCTCTGGAATATTTCAAGCAGTTAACTTAAATAATACTACCAAAGTTTTGTCTTCTGACATTGTCAATAAAGACTTCACTAATCTTGAGCTCCTCTTCCTGCTAGATTCCTGTCAAAATGACCATGGCCACATCCACACAAATTAAAATTAATTTGCTTTACGGATGTATTACCCAGGGGATCAAGTTTTCCACGATAATCAAGATATAACACCGTCTATGTCTGCCTCTAATTTTGAAATCCTACGCCTAGGGGGAGAAAAAAGCAATCTATTTTGTCTGACATTACTTCTTTTTTATAAATCCGTGGTGCTTATTGCTCATTAAAAATAAATGCCCCATGAAAATGGAATTTACTGCTTCAAGAGATTCATCATTGTCACTGCTCAGTGTTTGCAGAGTTTCAATTACCCAACAGTGCAGAGAAAAGATCACTGCTGAAATGATCTCTCTGTTATCATTTTAGAATATAAGTGGTTTCAGAAATAAAAAGACAAATTTATGTAGTTGGAAGTTGATTTAATTTCAGTCTTTCATTTTTAACTCTACCTCCTGAACTTAGCCTTTTTAATTCCTTGCATCGAATTATCACATAAATTGAAAAGTTTCATACCTACCCAGGGTGGCTGCATTCCGGCCTTCGAGTCAAACAGACTGATAGACCAAAGTTCGAAATATTGCTTCACTAGTCACAAGAGTTGTAACTCTGGGTTAAATTACTTAAATTGTCAGATTCCCTTTTTAGAAAATAGGCTGGTTGTGAGGAAGAGAAATAATATATGGAAACATCTAGTACTTTGCTGGTACAAAGATGCTGCTGAACAAATGGCTGCTGTCAAGATGGCGTCTTAAGTCCAGGTAAATAGCTAAATACATTCATCGCAGACAGGATACAGAGTGACTGTGGGGTTAGAAATACCACTTGGTACACTGGTTCTCATCAGTGGCACAGTGGTTAAGAGTTCGGCCACTAACCAAAAGGTCAGCAGTTTGAATTCACGAGCTGCTCCTTGGAAACCCTATGGGGGCAGTTCTACTCTGTCCTACAGGGTTGCTATGAGTCGGAATCAAACCGACTTGACGTCAGTGGGTTTTACGGATACCTTAGAATCTCAGGAGTCCCATCCCTGATTCTGATTTATTTGGTATGGGATAGAGGACAGGTATTTGTATTTGTGAAAAATTGTCCAGGCTTTTCCACTGTGCAGCTAGTGTTTAGAAATATTGCCGAAGGCAGTGTTTGTCAATTATTAATGTACGTATGACTCATCTGGGGATCTTACAAATGAAGGTCAGGGGTGAGGCCTGAGAATCTGCATTTCTAACAAGCTCCCAGGTAATGACAATGCTGCTCGTTTCCAGACTACCCTTGGGTTAGCAAGAGCCATCCCATCTCCTGAACTTGGTTATGCTGATGGCACTGTGCAGCATAAGTGGTCAGACTGTGGGGATAGACGAATCTCTGTCGTCCAGCGTGATGCTCACCAAAGAAAAATGTCACCATATCAGCAGAGACCTGAGTCCATGTTCACTCAGTATGCTGACTGATGGTTGCTATCACCATGTAAGCAAAGGTAGGATCCTGTCCCCGGCCTCGTATCTTCCACCCACACCTCTCAGCTGTAAGACCTTTTTTGAGAACTCTTTTCTTTTTTCCAGTCTTCTCTGCAATATTGTATTTTACCTGATTACACTTGATAAAATCAAGTGAAAAGTTAAAAAGTTAGATAATACCACATTATATGATTTGCTTCAAAATTCTTCTCCTTTTGAAATAATCCAGCAGGGTGTATATACTTAAATTACTCAGTTGGACATTTGATCCTTCCTCCATGAGCAGGGCCTTCTTACTGATTCAGACTAAGCAAGCCAAACCTTCAATTAAGTCAAAGCATTATGCAAATTCATAAGAGATGTGGATAAATTGTATTATTTTCTCCATCACTGATCTGAATTTCATAAGGACAAAGAATAAGAATGCATCGATTTGAGGTTTCTGGAGTATGAAATGGAATCAGAAATTATAACCCCTACAAAATTAGCCTTGCTGCAACTTTGCAAATGCAATTCAGGATGGTCCTTGGTGAGTTTTAACAATAAGAAGACATGGCCCAACATTGACCAGGTGGACTTTTTGCCTGCACAGAAGATGAGATATTCAACTATGAGTCCACTAACAGTATGCTATAGTTTTGGATATCAAAACTTTTTTCCCGGAATAGAGAGGATGATTTTTATATCATTGCCTCATGCCCATGGACAGCAAGTACAAAACATACTCAAAATCATGTCCAAAGAAAATATAATGAACTATATCTCTATAATGCTATACATTGCTCACTGGGGTTACTACAGGATTATTCTCCCTAGCACTGCATGCAATTTAATACTCTGGAGTAAAAGCTGGTTCCTCTAACACTTGAGATCTTCTCAAAGAGGTAAACTTACCATGTGTAGATAATCTGCCCTCTGGGATAAGTGTATAGTACAATGTAGCAGTCACCACCATAAAATTCACCATATGAGTTTTTATTAATTGGAATCCTACCATTACTTTCTACACGCCAAATCTGCAAGAAATGGAATATATGTACCAAAGTTAAATTTTTATTGATCCTATAATACTTCTCATAAGCTTTAAATAATTTTCAGTTTAGAGCTATTAAAAAAAGAAAAAAAAAAACCTGTTGTTGTTGAGTCAATTCCAACTCATAGTGACCCTATAGGAGAGAGTAGAACTGCCCCATAGGGCTTCCGAGGCTGTTAATATTTATGGAAGCAGATAGCCACATTTTTCACCCACAGAACAGCTGGTGGGTTTGAACTACAGACCTTCAGTTAGCAGCCAAGTGCTTAACCAGGGCTCCACCAAGGCTCCTAGATCTATAATAACCAACTTTTTTTTTTTCCAGTTTTGAGCGATTATGAATAGTGCTGCTATGAATATTCTTATACAAGTGTTTTGGTGGACAAAGGCTGCTTTCTATCACTGTTGATGTCTCTTTAGTTTTTTTTTTTCTTAATATTTTGTTATGTTTTAGGTGAAAGTTTACACAGCAAATTATATTCCCATTCAACAATTTATACTCAAATTGTTCTGTGACATTGTTTACAGCCCTCAAAATGTGTCAGCACTCTTACCATCTCCCTCCCACCTGCCCTGTTTCTGGACCCCTGGTGGTGCAGTGGTTAAGAGCTATGGCTGCTAACCAAAAGGTCGGTAATTCGAATCCACCAGCCACTCCTTGGGAACTCTACAGGGCAGTTCTACTGTCCTATGGGGTCGCTATGAGTTGGAATCAACTCGATGGCAACGGGTTTGGCTGTTGTCGTTTTTTTGCCCTGTTTCCATCCATGCAGTTTCCCTGCCCCTCCTAGCCTTCTCATCTTTGCTTTTGCGTAAATGTTGACAGTTTGGTCTCGTTTAGTTGACTGTTTAAAAGAGCACATTCCTCACAGATGTTATTGTTTATTTTCTAGGCCAATCTATTATTAGCTAAAAAGTACCTCTGGGAGTGGCTTCAGTTCCAGGTTAAAATGGTATCTCAGGGGCATTAGTCTCGGGGATTCCTCTAGTCTCTATCCAGAAAGTCTGGTCTTTTTTATGAATTTGAGTTTTGTTCTACATTTTTCTGCCACTCTAACCAGGACCTTCTATTGTGACCTGAATGGTCGGTGGTGGGAGCTGGGCACCATCTAGTTCTGGTCTCAGGCTAGAAGAGGTTGTGATTCACGTGGGCCATTACCCCTGCTGACTAATTTCTTCCTTGAGTCTTTGGTTTCCTTCATTCTCCTTTGCTCCCAATGGGAAATAATCAACTTTTGAATTATTTTTCTAACTAGTTTAAAAATTAAGCAAAGGGAAGGAATTTTATCAATCTGGAAATTTGTTTACTGACTTCAAAATTGCTTATATTCCTTTAGTACTCTCCATAGCATTTAGCTCAATTCTGAGCCCACTGGTCAATAAGTACCTATTGATTGATAGATCAGTAAAAATAACATGACACTCTAGTAAAATAATGGACTACAATATTCGGCTCAGAGACCTTTCAACTTTATAATAAAGTTTTCATCAGGCATGAGATAATTTGTTTTGTTTTTCTTTCTCCTCATGCTTTAAGACATGAGACTATAATTTTTTCCAGGCAAAAGTTGGTAGATTTTGACTAAATAATGACTGCTTTTTTGAAAAGGCATCATCCAGGCATGAGACTGAAAAGGTATGACAAGGGATAAAAGCAGGCAGAACCTCCTACTTCCTCACCCTCATTACAGCTTAAAGACACAAGAGAGTTACATAGATTAAACAGGAGAGTAACATATGAATGAGGGCTGCCAGGCAGTGCTATACACACAACACCCTCTTCATGCCTGGGTCCTGGGAAGGGTAGGATAGATCCTTTGCCTTGAAATGTGGAGATTAGCTAGTGGAGAGAGCAGTGCAATGCTTTCAGAGAGAAGCCTCCTCATGCCATCCAGTAGTAAGCTGAGGAGAAATGGCAGCACTGCCTCGCTAAACCGAAGAGCCTACAGAGCCCCCGAACGTCAGCAGCCCTGGGGTGGCACAGGAGGACATCTCAGTGATACTGTGGCCTGAGGTTGAGATTGTAGCCTGGCACATAGCCAGTGCTGGGAAGCCAAGTCCACCCCACTGGCCCCCTAGCTATGCCGCCTGTGTTGAGCTCCAGGAGAGGATGCCTCGCAACCAGTGCTGGAGACAAACCCAGACCCAGAAGTCAATACCCTTCCACTAGCCATAAGGGATATCTGTGACATTCTCTGTTAGCATCCCTCACCCTCAAAACCCCTTCCCTGCTTAGAGTCACACTTCACATCTTTAAAAAAAGGAAAAAGTATTTCCCAAATTTCTTGAGTATATTCTTTGGTCCAGTCATTGTGGCATGCCTTGGGAATACAGAAATAAAATATGCAATTCTTAACCTTGCAAATAAAATATGCAAGGAACTGACGAGAGGTCTAATAGGGGAAGCCTGTAAGGAAATGAACAATTCTTATTGTGTTCTTATGTTACGGTACTTACATGATATGGTCTGTGAAAAATACCATTTATGGGTTGAGTGCAGACTAAACCACTTATGACCACAGAGGTAGGCTATTTCAGTGCCGCAGGCAGGCATCTGGGAAGAGGTACAGCTTGTGGCTTAAATGAGTTACCAAGGAAGAGAGAGGATGTTAGCCAGATGGTGGAGAGGAGGGGCACTCAACATAGTGGAAGGGCGAGGCAGGAAGGAAGGTAAGGGTTAAATCATGGAAGGCCTTGTGGGTGCAGCTGAAGACGGAGGTTTTCAGGAAAACTATCAAAAGCCATTAAAAAAAATTTGAATGGAAAGTAACATCATCTAGCTTTCAATAAGTTAGATGACTCAAGAGTGGACTGGGTGTGAAGAAACTTGAGTCAGGGAGAATGATTAGGGGATTTTTATCATCTGTTTTCTAAAATGGGATAATCAACGAATTCAATTCAACCAAAAACCAAATCAAACCTGTTGCACTTGAGTAGATTCTGACTCACAGCAACCCTATAGGACAGAGTAGAACTGCCCCTTAGGGTTTCCAAGGAGCAACTGGTGAATTCAAACCACCAAACTTTTGGTTAGCAGCTGAGCTCTTAACCACTGCACGTTACCAGGGCACCAAACTCAATTCAAACGCTCTAAATAAAAAATTTTTTTAAAAAATCTCTACTTTTAGCATATAACACATGCCCAATTTGTTTTTGTAAAGAAACAGCCTATAAAATGTGGTGGATGGACAAGCTGATAAAAGTTGGTACATTCATGGAACAACACACCCTCCCTGGACCATCCCAGACACGGGCTTTCTGAGAGCAGGAACAATTCTGGACTGGAAACAAGATGGTCGGGTTCCAGTGCTAAGTCTCTAAGACGATAATTAGGTGATCTTTAAAAAAAACCACCTAACTTCTTGGAATCTCAAACTACACATTTGTAAACTGAAGGTTAGACAACATTTCTTCCATACTTAAATTATATGATTTAATATGCAGTCTTGAACTACCTTTATTATTAAGTAAAATTTACATTTTGTAAATAAGGTTTGTAGTTTCCTGAAGTCATAGTTCCACGTATAAGTGGGCTTGATAAGAACAAACAAACAAAGCCAGGTAAATACCTCCACTTCACCAGAACCATCATCCACCATATTGTGCTGGGCTGCCATCTGCGGAGAACTGTGTAATTTTGAGGCATCGAATGGAATTTGTTTTATTTGAGCCACTTTCTCTGTGACATATACTTTCCCGAAGCCATCACTCTGATCTTTATCGCGCCAGTCCTTAAAGAACTGTTTAAAGATTGGTGTTTCACCTCCTTCTGGAAGAACTTGAATCTGAAATTTTAAAAAACCATAATAATAAACAGGAAATTAAGAGATTGAGGAAAAACAATGTAGTGGTAGAGAAAAGACTGTAGTGGGAATGAAAAGATTGTCCTAGTTTCTGTGATCACAGATGTTAACTTAGAAGCAGGAGTCCTTAAAAAAATGAATGAGAAAACAAAAAATTATCAAATATGAAACTAAAATAATCCAGCCTTGGTTTCTCTCATAACTTAACATATTGCCACTGATACCAGATGTTTGAGATGAGAGTTAAGTTTTTTCACATGTTGTCATTGTGGTTAAAGTAAGTTTGACTTTTTTTTTTTTTTCATTAAGGTTCACAAGAGGTCTTTGATCTGGAAGAAATTATCTCATTGTGTTACTTGTGCCAGGACATAAAAACGAAGAGAGTGGACAAGGCTGAGAGACTCAGAAAGGGAAAGACTAACTATCCAGTGTCTAGTTTAATCTTGATGGAGCCAAATATTATCTGGGTTTTAGCCAATGTCTGCAGAATTTGCTGTAAGAAATCACTTGTAAGTGCTTTTAGTTCATTCAGCTGTGGTTGGTTATCTTGAATTAAAGTGGATGGGCTCTTGTCCTCATCATTCAGCCTTATTGAGGGTCTGACCTCTCACTTCTGCAAAATTCTATCCCACACGCAGATTAAGTTATAGGAATATATGATACCTGATTGCTCACATTCAAGTGAAGAATGACTTTGCATGCATACATTACTTTAAACCAAATTCTTTCAGGAATTTTATGGAAATATCACGGGCTCCCATGTGTATATTTTTTTCTAACCAGTTCATTTCCACACGTACTTGGGTATTGGTGGAATAATTCATTTGCTCTAGAAATTCTTCAGCTGTCTTCATTGCAGCCTTTCTCTCCTGAGGATTAGCATTTTTACCTAAAATACAAGATAAATTAAAGAGAGACATATATGACTATGAAATACTTGTATATCAAAATATACAAGTATTTCGTATTCATATATACAATTTAAATATATCATTGAGATGATGGCAAAATATTTCCTAGTAGATTGAATAGATTTAACAATACAGTAATGAATAACATTTATAAAAATATTCTTTTTGTCTTGCCCAAATGCTTTCTTTAACCCCCTAATCCCTGGCAAATAATGTTTGTAGAAATAAAATATGATTTTGATGGCTGCATATATGTGAGCTATTTATAGAACATGTCTCAGAAAGCTAGGCTTTTTTTTTTTTTTAACCAGAAAAAAATCTTTTCTTTATCTTTCTGATAAAATGTCTACAAATCTGAAATGCAACATCAATGGCATCTTTCACCTTTCCATATGAAAATTTGTTTTGCAGCACCATGGTCCAAAATAAAGCATTCCTCAGAAAGCAGCATTGCCATGGAGAAGGGGTTTTCTTCTGCCACCACGGTCACATTCATGGATCCACTGGCATCTGAAACCTAATATAAAAACCATGAGCCCCAGGTTTCTTTTTGAGATGATAAAAATGTTAGAATTGAGATCATGGTGATGGTTGCACAACTCTCTAAATACACTAAAAACCATTGACTTCTACACTTTAAAAAGGTGAACTTTCTGGCATGCAAATTATGTCTTAACAAAGCTGTTTCAAAGAACAAAAATAAGCAAACAAAATACCCATGAGCCCAATTATACTCCAAAAGGTCTTTTTAAGTACTTTGTGTAAAAGAACTACTACTAACAAAGTTGTTTTGATACTGTGCCAGAAACTTGTGGGACATCAGAAAATAATAGCGATAACAATAATGTCCAATGTTTACTGAGATCTTTCTAGGTACTAGGCACTAGGCTATCATTCTCACGTGATTTTATCCTTTAGTGTTTGTAGCAATCCTTTAAAGTAGGTAATAGTCTTACACTCACTATATACACATAAAAAACTGAAGCTTACACATCCATTCATTCAACATTTACTGAGTGTCTACTATATACCAGGCAGGCATTGTGCTAAAGGCACTGATATGTTATAGTTCATGCCTATAGATTTTCTTCAATACATATTTTTTCCAATTTTCCAATGTTGGTTCTGTAATTTAAGTATACTTTGTGTAAATTATCAAAGTAAATTTTCTCTGTCAGAAATAAAATTTTTATTTACCTGGACTCTTAAGGTTTCGAAAGGACTACAACATATACTTCTAAAAAAATTTTAGCTGCTTTTAAAAAGTTGAAGGTGATATTAATGCTCATTAATGATAAAGTTCCCTCCCTTGACCAATACTGAAGTTTTGTAGCACTCCGGTGAGGTTTAGATTCTGTATTTTTAGAAAACACCCCAGGTGATTCTGCTCCCCAGCCTTGTTTCACAACCCTAAAATATTTTCAAATGGACCTTATACTTTAGATGCATACAATGCACTGCCATTCCACCAGGGGGAGCAAGTTTTAGGATTAACATTTCCACACCAAAATATGTCTTTAGTACACAATGCTGTCCAAGAAGGAAAACAGTTTTGTTCGATGATGCAAAATAAAAGATATTTGTTAAGCTGTTGAAAAAGCTCGAGAAAGAGTAATAAGAAATAAGCAGCTACAAAGTATTTAACAATTTCTGTAAAGCTTATATTAAAACTCAGCATTTAGCAGAAATGGCAACCACATTATCCTTTGTCATCTAGGAAGAACTCACTTCCCCTTTATAAAAAGGAACTTATGCTACCCAAGTTAGTAAATTGATCTTCATTTAAATCACAGAGTTTCTGAGCTAAAAGTTTCCTTAAACCAAAAAACCAAACCCATTGCAGTCAAGTTGACTCCTACTCATAGCGACCCTACAGGACGGAGTAGAACTGTGCCACAGGGTTTCCAAGGCTGTAGTCTTTACAGGAGCAGACTGCCACATCTTTCTCCTCTGGAGCCACTGGTGAGTTCAAACTGCCAACCTTTCAGTTAGCAGCCAAGTGCTTAACCACTGGGCCACCAGGGCTCCTACCAAAAAACCAAACCAAACCAAACTGGTTGCCATTAAGTCAATTCCGACTCATAGTGACCCCATAGTACAGAGTATAACTGCTACAGGTCCCTTAAAAAGAGCAGAAAATCTAACTCCTTTCTGTAGCAGATGAGAAAACCAGATTTCTGCGGGGAGATTATGACTTACTGCAATATTACGCACTTGCGCTTAGAAAGTTGCAAGGGGGAGGGAACCCTTGTAGAATTTCATTTTAGCAATCTCCTTATCTGGTGTATCTTGTGGCTTTTGTTATTTTCACCAGCAATAAAATCATAAAATTACAGAGCTGGAAGGAACCTGAGTAATCATCTAATTTAATCTCTTGCTCTCTTTTTTTTTTTTAGAGAAAGTAAGTCTTAGAATGGTTATGTTTTGCCCAAGCTCATACTGCCAGTCATTCCCACAGAGCAGACAAGGAACCAGGCTCTCAATGCCCAGTGCGGGACTGTTTTCACTGTTTCCTTCCAGCTATTTGGTTTGATAGCTTTGCTCTCTTGTAACATAGAAAGCCTTCTTTCTGGCTAAATAGAATTTTTTAAATAGATGCAAATATTATAAGCTTATTTAAAATTTATAAGAACAACCTTATAAAACATTTTTACTCTATGAAGAGAACATTTTACTGACGATAATATCTCAAAATACATTATTCCAGGAGAGGCGGGGCCAAGATGGCAGAGTAGTCAGATATTTTCTGTGGTCCCTCTTACAACAAAGACCCTAAAAAACAAGTGAATCGATTATATATGACAATCTGAGAGCCCTGAACATCAAAGGCAAAGTTGAGGAATCACACTGACTGGCAGGGGGAGGGAGAGATGGTCCAGAAGCAGCAAGGAGCTGCCAGACCTGATGCGGCAGGAACAGGCACCCTGTAGGCAGGATTGGCTGGTGTGCACGGTAAGGCAAGTAGTGGCATTCGGGATGCATTTTCCAAACAGGGAGAGACCAAGCAGCAGACAGTCTACTCAAGCCTCCAGAACCAGTGAAAAGCGGCGCTCTATCAGCAAAAGATAAGTACATGCATCTAACCCACTGTGCAGATCCAAAAAACATCCTGTTTGGGAAGAACCTCTCTCCCATTTACCTACCTCCTCTCCACTCTGCACAGGGTCCTAGGCCAGAAGTAGGACCCATCACACTCCCTGAGCCATTCTCCCAGCCTTGGAGAGGGAACAAATTAACAAACAGGAAAAAATAATCTGCCAGCTCCCCTAAGCTGGGAATGCAGGGTAGGCACAACTCCTTTGCCTAGGCACAGACAGACATAAGGGGTCCATGGACTTTGAATGCCTTTCACCCCTGTGTGGGCCCATTTCAACAGTGTAGGCCTTTATTAGCACAACACAACAGGGTATATACCTGAAGCCTAACTTCAACTGTATCACCTACATGGTGGAGTGGCAAGTTCATGACATTTGACACCACTCTGCCCATTAACCAGGATCCTCACCTACTCACATCAGGACCTGAGGACTGGTGGCTCCACCCACGCCACCTAGCCACCAGTGACAGGGGTCCAAGAATAAGTGATGCCTCCCAGTCCTTACAGCCAACAGCATTGAGTGCCAACAGTCCAGCTGCAAAACCCACCCTCCTACGCACTCTAGGGAACAGGCACACATTTTCCTCCCAGACACTCAGGGTCAGCTGTCAACCCCCTGCCTTGCTCAGCACATGACCCCCTACTGCAGCCAGATACCTGTGCCAACTCCAATCACCCCTGCCTGTCTAGGACTGTAGGTGAGAGCCTACACCAAACACTTGGTGACTGACTACCTGGACACCTGACCTGAATCCATATGAAAAAAGTAAATGGACTCCTGGGCTCATATACCTAGTAACAGCTCTAACCACCTGGTCACAGGACATTAGAGCTTCAAAGGCAACAATAATCAGACTAGCTCACATGAGCAGCCTATTTGGGCATATCAAAACAAAACAAGAAGCTAGGACACAGTAAGCAAAAATACAATAAATAAATATAATAACTTATTGGTGGCTTGGAGACAACAGACAATATCAAATCAAACAAACAGGCAGACCATGATGGCTTCAGCAAGCTCCCAAAACAAAGAATCAAGAAATCTTCTGGAGGAAAAGAACTTCTTGGAATTACCAGACGAAGAATACAAAAGATTAATACACAGAACTCTTCAAGAGGTCAGAAAGGAGATCAAGCAAAACAGAGAATATGCCAAGGAACACACACACGATGAAATAGAGGAACTTAAGAAGGTTAGAGAAGAGCATGAGGACAAATTTAACAGGTTGCAAGAATCCACAGAGAGACAGCAATCATAAATTCAGAAGATTAACAATAAAATTTCAGAATTAGACAACTCAATAGAAAATCATAGGAGAAGAATTGAGGCAGTAGAAGTCAGAATTAGTGAGACTGAAGATAAAGCACTTGACACCAACTTATCTGAGGAAGAATCAGATAAAAGAATTAAAAAGAATGAAGAAACGCTAACAATTATGTGGGATTCTATCAAGAGGAGTAACCTCTGAGTGACTGGAGTACCACAACAGGAGGGGATAACAGAAAATATAGAGAGAATTGTTGAAGATTTCTAAGCAGAAAACTTCCCTGATATTGTGAAAGATGCTCATCAAACCCCCCTCAAGGTAGATCCTAAAAGAAAATCACCAAGACATATCACAATCAAACTTGCCAAAATCAAAGATAAAGAGAATTTTAAGAGCAGCTAGGGATAAATGAAAAGTCATCAACAAAAAAGAGTCAATAAGACTAAGCTCAGACTACTCAGCAGAAACTATGCAGACAAGAAGGCAATGGGATGACATACATAAAGCCTTGAAGGAAAAAAATCGCCAACCAAGAATTATATATCCAGCAAAACTGTCTCTCAAATATGAGGACAAAATTAGGGCATTTCCAGACAAATAGAAGTTTAGGGAATTTGCAAAAACTAAACCAAAACTGCAAGAAATACTGAAGTTAGAAAATCAGTAACATCAAATAACAACCCAAGACTAGAACACAGGACAGAGCAACCAGATATAAACCCAGAGAGGGAAGTCACAAACATAAATGAAAGTTAAAACACTGAAAACAGGGAAACAAATGTCAATATGTACAAGATGACAACATTAAAACAAAAAAGAGGGACTAAAAAAATGTAGTTATAGATCTTTCATACGGAGAGGAAGTCAAGGTGATATAAAGAAATAAAAGACTAGTTTAAACTTAGAAAAACAGGGGTAAATATTAAGGAAACTAACAATCCTACACATCAAAATAAAAAACAAGAAAAACATAAAGACTCAGCAAATACAAAATCAGTAACAGTGAAAAAGATGAAAAGAAAATACATAAAGAAAAACGACTCAGCACAGAAAATTAAGTGGAACAAAGAAACTGTCAACAACATACAAAAAAAGATATCAAAATGACAGCACTAAACTCATATCTATCAATAATTACGCTGAACGTAAATG